CCTACTGAAGTACTTAACCCCGCACCTAGGGAACCAACATCATGCCAGCAGACAGAGGAACTGGAGGTGAGCATTAAAAAAAAGGGGGAGCTGGCAGGCCTTGCTCATACTTGGGCCTAGGATGTTCAGTGGTTGCTGCGAAACAGGAAAACACCCATCCTAACAAGTAGACAGAAACAGCTTCTCATTCAAAGAGTCACATTCACACCTCCCCACCTTTACACCCATACAGATATATACAAGCACACAATAGAGATACACACAAATGCAGACAATATACATATTCTTACATTCCTCATACATACACTATCCTCCTGGGTCTGAGGGTCAGCCCCTCTAGGGGAAACAGATTCCCAGACACCCCTGTGTGGGAAGTGGCCATGCAAAAAAAAGAAAAAAAAAAGAAAAACGGAGGGGGTGAGAGGGAGCAGCAGTCAAGCCCAGGACCAGCCATCATACCAGCCAGTATGTTAGCATCTTCAACTCCAACTCCATGGTGATAAGAAAACTGGTGATAAGATAGTTGCTTGTTTGTTTGCCAAGGTGAACCAACGGGAGTCTCACTGGTGACTTATAAAGATTCAGTCTCTGCAGTTTCCTCTTCACTTGACTTGTAGAAAAAGACAGGAGAAAGGCAGCATGAGGAGCACCATCTTCTGATTTGGCTTACAACAAACTCATGTAAGCAGAGGAGCCAATGGCAGAGGAAGGCAGATTGCCCGTGTAAGTGTGGGAAGGAGAGAAAGATGCTGATTTTGTTCCTGTTCTAAACATGTTGAAGAATTTGTTCAGCTCATGGGTTCTATTCAGACTTCCATCTGTCTGATCATCCCTCTGCTTAAACCCTGGGATCTTCTTCATCCCTGACCACACATCTCCTATGTATGTGACCAGTCACGGAAACTAAGGACACAAGTTGATTCTGGCGCATTTTGACTTTTTCACTTATTTTGGAAAGTGGGATTTCCAAGCTTTGTAGGAGACACGGACCTAAGCCTAACCCCCCCACAAAAAATCGATAAACTCTGGCCATGACGGTTCCTACAAAACATTTGCCAATCCACTTTGACTAATGTCGAAAGTGGATTGAAAAATAATAAAATAAAGCTGTAAAAAAAGTTTAACCAGTGTCCTTTTTAAACGTACTGTTTTAAATAAAGAAAACACAGGACCAACGAAACAAGCATTTCAACATCATTCAGATTTTTGTAATTTTAAGTACAATGTTTCTATTTAAAAAAAAATAGATATATTCACCATGGATGAGTCTGCCGTTGAAGTCCCAAAGTAACTTGTAGCACCTGCGAGAACACACCAACAAATTGTAAATATAACTTGCTGTGATAATGCCGACAGAGACCTTGTCTACTTATGGAGATTTCTTGCTGACTAGGTGCATCCTGGCACTTTGCTGCCTTGGGCATATCTTCCACCACAGAATCCTCTTTCATGCCTTTAAGTTGAGTTATTTTTCTTTAAAAAATCAGCAGTGGCTATCAGCAGAATTAGAAAATCACCAACCAAAATAATTGTCTCAGTTTCTTCAATTACTAACCACACGTGGGTGGATCTGCATCAGTAATGAATTATTCACTGTGCAAATAATCACAAACTACTATAGGTTAAATTATCAATATATCTTTATTCCCTAATAATCCCTATGCCAACAGTACAGATAATAAACACAAGGTGAATGTAAACTTAATAACAAGGGGAAAAGGGGGGTCTATGAGTCTGTTAGAAGAGAGTGAGCAGTATCCAAGTCTTAAGGTTGGGTGCATCAAAGCATGGTGTGATATCCTTTTAAAATAGCAATAGGTACATGTGAATGATCATTGTATGTACATGTCATTTTATTCAGTTTATAGTCAATAATGAAAAAGATTGAAAAATGCATTAAAAGTAGCAGCACAGTAGCACAATGACTTAGCTCAGATAACACTATGAGACTCAGCTACAAGGCGGGACTCAGCTAGGACAAAGGATCCTAAAACACAAAATGGCTTCCTCTATACAATGTGACCAAAATGAGGTAGCCTAGCCAGCAATGCTAGGGTAGGCTACCTGGGTAGTCTACCCCAGCATGTGAGAAAAATATTTATGTGAGAAAAAACTCTCATAAACTCAATTAAACAATTCTTTTAAAGCCCAACAATGTTTTGAGTGGCTGTTAGATCTCTACAAGTATGGATGGACAAACATGAATTAATAAACAGCATTTAATTTTTGTTAGATTTACAAAATGAGCTAATTACTCTATAAAGAAAATCCTTAATGAAACAGACATTGTTTGTGCACCTGAAAGCATAAACTGCATAGCGAATAGAAAATTAGATCCTCCCTCCATGCATCTTTTCCCCACTGCAGGAATTTCTCAGTTGCACACCCATCCCCTGGGTCTGTCAGGAACAGTGTGCCTGTGGCCGATAATTGATAATGCAGCCCAGGCAGCACTCACGTTGGTCAGTGGAGCATGAACTAGCCTGAGAAGTAGAGAGGCTGGAGTGCACCAAGGTGAAGCTTAGCGCCTATATGGAGAATTTAGGAGGGGGTGGGCTAGAGGTAAGAGCCAACAAGGGCAGACGTGGCATAATCCACATAAACAGACTTTTTTTAATTCTGTAACATTTGCAATTGCCTTTACCATTAAAAACAAACAAACAAAAAACAAAAACATGACACTCTAACCTTGACATGCTTATCCCAGTGAAAAATGTGCGATAAGCCCAACTTCCTACAAAATATGAGATGCAATCAACCACAATTGGAGAAAAAGGGAACAGGTATTTTCCTCCAATGTAGCATCAGTCCAGAGAGGCAAAATATGGAGATAGAGAAAAGCTACAGAAAAATTAAGCATGGTCATCATTCAAGGACCATTTAATGACTGCTAATAAGGAGAGTTATTAAAAAAAAGTGAATTATTGGTTTGGGTTAAAACAAGGCCTGTTTAGAGTAAATGCCTGAACGCCAAGGGCCTGATCTTCAAATAATCTATATGAGGAGAGGGAAATTGAGCGCTAAAAAAAATGGCATGTGTGTAGAAGCAAGGCAAAAGCGATATAAGGTCCCTGAGCATTCTCTGTGTGCTAATGGAAATTTACAATTCTCCAAAAAAAGAAGTTGTAAGCCAAAGAGATTAGAATGGCACCAATAATAATTGTAAAAGTGATTATAATGATGATCCATTTTGTTTATTATTACACGTAGTGTATGTCAACGTGTTAAAAACAGAACAGAACAGATGAAAATAATAAAAAGAAAATAATATCGGTCATAAAACCTAAAGCTGACTTTATCAGCTCCTCCTGGCCCCTCTAACAGAAAAGCATCCATGGTTAGATTTACAGCACCATTACAGTCTAAACAGCAGTGTATACCTCCACCAACCTCTCAAAATCTGCTTGACCTAGAATATTGCACACCAACTCACATTATGATTTCATAAAATATAATTGTGCATCTCCCTCCATCATCTGTCTTTGTACTAATGCCTACACTGTGGACACAAGGAGCCCAGAGATTTCTTCTTGCAAGTTTGTATCTGACTATGAAATGTAACTAAAATAACTAGGCCTGCAATCATTTTCAGGTTTGATAAATCACTCTGTCGGTACTAGGTTTTTAAACATGCATATCTTTTACCTGTAGATAAAAATTCTTTGGTCATTAGATTATGATCTGCATGCCGCACCAAAGGTTTGCTCTGCTTATTTCACAAGTTGCTAGATTTTCATCTGCTTTGTAGTTCAACTTTGCATATGTAAAGAACATTTAAACAGTTTTTTGTTTTTTTTACTGTCTCTTTTTGTGCAGCCCCATCAATTGTTCCAATCATGCACCAGATCAGCTCCACCATGAACAGCTTCACTCTATCATGGCCTCAACCAGAACAACCAAATGGGATCATCCTAGACTATGAGCTGCGCTACTATGAAAAGGTAAGCTGCGAGTGTGTGCATTTACCATGATTCTCGCCAAGACATTTTAGCATATGGGCCATTATCTCTCAATTATGCCATAATCAGGCAGTTAAGCTGAAAGAAAGGTCAGTGTTAAGAAAATCCAAAATTGTGTATTGAACACATTTGTCTGCCTATTTGTACATGTACAACAGAAATCTGCCTGGACCTTTACTCAGCACTTTGAAAACTGGTGATTTTCACAGTTACAATTGATATTTTGACAGTTACAGTCTGATATTTTACATATTGAGGGGACATATGAACAGCTTATAAAAATATGAAAACAGAAAAGAAGGAAAAACAATTTGAGTGGGCTAAGTAAAAAAAAAAAGATTCTAAAAAAAAAAAAAGAAGAAGAAAGAGAACTGGAAAGTACAATTTTAATTGGTCCTTTTAAGCAGCCCTTTTTGTAGAATCTAACTTCTCCTTGCTATCTGCAAGCTGTTCCCCTGGGTTGATAATATGTTCTGTCCCTGTGTTCAATCCACCACCCCCACTGTTCTTTGGTTTCTGCTGCTGATGAAGTGAAAAGTCTGACCTCTGCACCAGGTCCTCTCTGCACAGTGCAGTAACCCTGTCCCGCTGTGAAAATGCATTTCGTCTGGAGGGAGTCGCATCGACCTGTCTCCTCACACACAATATGTCTGCTTTATTAAGTCACCAGCACTACCCTTTGGTTACTATGCTGCTTTTATATTGACCAGTAGGCTTTTCCAAAGGCCTCAAACATAATAATAGTCAGATATTAAAGACGTAACCGACTTTTTTTTGGTACCGGTAGTTGTTTGTCTTCCTAAAGTGGATTAATGGATATCGCAAGCCCAGTCGAGTATTTTTTCTTTTTTAAGGCCAGTTTTGTTTATCGTAGTACTTTTAAGACTTGGCTCACCTTTGCTCATCTGTTTTCACACTAGAAGAAAAAAAATAGTACAGATTTCTTGACATGTTTTTGCATACATGGTTTCTTTTAATCTTGAACGTTATACTTTTCATAAACTCATCGTGTCCTTAGGTTCCTGGTTCGATATTCAAAGCCCCAGCTTAGAATAGTTTTGTCACTGTAAACATTTGTAACAGAACAAGCAGCAATCTGTTTTTTATGCTGTTGCATTTAGAATCCTAGGGCTTCACTGTTGTTTTTCCCTCAGATGTGTCATAGCTCACAGAGCAGAATCTGACTACTATGTCTCTGAAAAACCTTATCCACCAGGCAGCTTAGTGCAATGTAAATAACGATTGCGCAGCCCCCATTACCTCATGAATATCAATCAAACCTGATGTTTGAGCTTCCTCAAACAAATAGATGAACACAGCTAATCACAAATTAGTGAACTATCAAGGACATGATTAGTATTTACACCACGATAATTCAGGTGACGACTGAGGCAGCGCTCCATGCTGCCAAACTGAACATACCTACATCAGCTCCTATTTGTTACAGACTTGAAATGTCTTATCTGGGTAGAGAACGTTCCACCATTTGAGTGTGAGTAAGACACAGAAGGTGAGTCAGAGTGATTGCTTTGTGACACACTGGGCTGTTGAGATGAGATTTCCCCTTTGGTGGTCCTCTTTTGACACAAGGTATTTTAAAACTGACAAGGCTTTTCACACATTCTAAAGAGACTATCCCTGAGCCACACACCATGTTGGAAAAGTGTTTTTATATCTGATTAAATATGATATATGGTTGGATGGAAGGATGGATGGAGCACTTGGCAGTGATAAAAAAAATTAAACTTGATTAATAGCATTAAAATGCATAAAATTTCCTATGACATAAGCAAATACTTTGCAAAGTTGTTTACCTAAGTATGAGCAGATATCAAATCAAATACAGATCCAAAGCTATCTGCTGCTGGCAGGGCAATATTGTTTTAATTAGCTTCCTTAAAAAAAAACATACTTTATTGTTGTAGTTGTCCAGCCTACCGACTATTTTTCTTATTTTCTCCGCCATCCATCAAAAAAGAGTCGACTTGTATTTTTAAAAGAGCCACAGGGAATCATCATCTAGGAAAGGACACGTCGACTAGAGTGGCTTTGATTTGAGGCAGAGGGGCAGAAGCTGTCAAAGTTGGTGATTTGAGTAATATTTCTTACTCAAACTGCTCTGATAAGGCAGTTTAGCATTGTGATGCATTTTTTTCTGTAAACAGTAAAGGGTTTCTGTGACTAGACAGTGGATAATAAATGTTTGCAAAACTGTTGGAAATATACAATTCTTATTTCTGTAACAAGTTAAATGTTTGTGACATTTGCATTAAGATGTTCTTTAGACTGTGAAGCTTATGAACTGCCATGGGGAACTAGTTATATTCTCACTTTTTTTGGGATATTCACAGTTTATTTAACCAAATCTTCTGGCATTTTGTCAGTTAAGACACCTCTAAGAATATTGATTTTCATAAAGCACAATAAGACATTGTTTCTCATTAAACTAAACAAATTGTACCATATTGGATAGTAAAAAACGGGCCTAACTTTAATTATTTTCAGTTCAGTTGATTTGTGTATGTCTCTTTGTGTGTGAATGTTTTTTGTAAATTGCAGACCAAACCCAAAATGGACAGCATGGCCACTTGGCATAAGGACAGACATGGTGAGATACCATGTGTCCTCTTCACAGGCTCAAACAGTTGCATGCATCCAAAATAACCAGCACAGAAAACCGAGATTTCGAGGACTTCATGATTAGAAATTCTAGAGTATCCGTTAAAGTTGCATCTGAAATCCCAAAATCTATCTCTCTCTCTTGCTTTTATCTCAATTTTGCAATCTGATTTTTAAAACCTTTGAAGAGATTTCATGTTTGATAATCTGCTTCTGAACTTATTTTTTCATGTATACTTCACAGTCTCTTTCCTTTTAGTATAGTTTGTGTGTACTTTGTGTGACTGTGTGTGCAGAGGAACAAAGATGAAAAAAAAAGTAGGCATACAAAAGTACATTTGAATACGCTTGATGCAGAACTGAGGGTGAATATTCACAGCTGAGAAAGCCCTTTAAACAGTTTATGGTCATTATAATGAATTCAAAATAGTCAGTAATTAATTGTATCTTTAAAGGTGCTGTAGGAGATCTTGGAAAAATGGTTCCAGCAAGCTATATTTTTGAACATATACAACCATGCCTCTTTCTTCAGCTAAAGCAGTGCGTCGCTGATCTCGGAGCTGGCAGGGAGACAGGCACAGCACTGATGATGCAGAGCCCTATGATCACTCCTCTGAAACAGTTTATTAATGCCTAAATTAAATTAGAATGCCAAAATCTGCGGGCAAAACATGTTTGCCCTCTATTGTCCTGGTGCCTGCAGTTTGGATTATGTACATGAAAAACGCCTTCCAGCCGCCGCCGATGGCAAACTGCACCAGATGCATGTGTTGAACGGGATTCCTAGTGACAGCACACCGCCGGTATGTGGGGTCTGAGTGGCACTGACAGAAATAACATTTTAAGGCAGGATGGTAATCTGGATGAACTGACTGCACTGACGATGTTTTAAGGTGGACTTTCTCACTTTAAAATAGATTCAAACTACTTTTTACCCACAGATCACAGCAAATATAGCTGCCATTGTTACAGGCAAAGAAAGGATAGGGTAGCTCCGCCCAACGTGCATCAGACCCACAATTTTCCACCGCGCAGCAAGATCAGCAGAGATGCTTCAGCCATGCATCAGAGCTAAACTTGTAGAAGCATCAACAATGAAGCAGCATGTGCGTTGTTGCTGCCGTTGCTGCTTTAGGTGTGAACGTAGCATAACAGTGGCTAGCTTCCAACCATGGCGTCTTGCACAAGCATTGGGGGGTGGATTCATTCATGTATCAGGGTACGCTTACAGGGGGGAGGGACAAGCAGACCATCATGACTGACGTGTCAGGAACCAATTGTGTACAACGGACCGTCTTTTGTGATTGGTTGGGGTTAATCATTGATTTCTCACTGTAAAAGGGAGCATTTATTAGTTTCACTTCCAGACCTTCTTTTTCACTGCTTGTTAAGCAGCTATTGGGAGATCTTTAAGCCACATGGGGAAAAGATGCATCAGAAAAGATCTCCTACTGCACCTTTTATTGTTTTAAGGCAATGTTTTTACAAAACTCAGTCAAAAACAATATTAAGCTACCTCTATAAAACCTTAGATTTTTTCTTGGGTTTCCTCCAATTGCTGCATGACTTCCCTTCTGTTAAGCTGAATGGATTGACCTGAACTTCCACAGGTGTTGCATATATGCAACTACAGAGACTCGTACCGAACCGTTCACACACACACACACACACACACACACACACACACACACACACCCAAACCTTCTTCCAGACATCTTTAGAGCTGTCAGCAAACCAGTCTGCTCTGCTTCAGGCTAATGGAGGGCCTGACCCCCTCTATAGCAACTTATTTCCATCCTCTCAACATTTCCAGGCAACTAGATAAAAAAATGGGTACAAAAAAAGGGGGTAAACAGGGGATATGAAATTTTCTCTTTATTCTCCTAAAGCCTTTAAATCTTTTTTTTTTTATCTTGTTCAATGTAAGGTCTTGGGACCGCTCACTTTGGAACATGTAGGCAGTCAGAAGAAGAGAGAAAGACACCTGTTGCATGAACATATTTTGATATTCAGTAGGACTTTCAACTGAAAACTCAGAAAAACTGTCTTTTGACATATTATCGCCCCAATATGTAAAATACCAAATATAACATTGGTATCAAATGTGTTATGCATTGCAAACTAAATAGCCCAAGTATTCACATTACCTTAAACTTTTTCATATAATTAACCAGCAAAGACAGCCATTCGCTTCATGTACACTGGAACAAAATTAGAAGTAACAACACTCATGCATAAAGAAGAAGCTTTTCAAATGGTACAAACAGCAACAATGGGAGGTGAAAAAGGTTTTGGCATCATTCTAGATTCTGAATGATACCAATTTTGTTCAGTAAGAATTAGGACTTTGAAAAAAGATGCATATTCAAATATTGAAGTCATTCATCATCCAGAGCATTAGGACCAATATCCTTGTTAATTATAATTTACATGTCCAGAAAATGGCCTAAATTTCATGGGTTTTACTACAAAGAGGAAAAAAATCATGACTCAGGCATTTTGGACCTTGCATAATCATAATAATTAAAAATAGTTAATACATTCTTTCTAGATTCTCTAATTTATACATAGAAAAAAACAATGGTTAGAGAAATAACTGACAAAAGTAATTATAAAGTAATAATAAATGCACATTTTATAAAAATGAAGAAAACGAAACTCAGACATTGCTTTTCAACCATGCTTCAACAGAATGATAATAAATAATAAACTTATGAAACTGTATAAATGATTGTACCCCTAGAACAAAAAAGAAACAACGTGATCAAATGGTAATAATAAATCAAGGTGTGTCCACTAATTAGCATCACAAGTGGCCACATCTTGTAATCAGTCATTAGGCCTACAGTATATATTGGTGCGTACCACACTTAACTTGGACCAGAGGAAACAAAAAGAAAGAGTTGTCTGAGGAAATTAGAAAAATTATCGACAAGCATGTTAAAGGAAAGTTTATAAGTCCATTTCATCTCACATGAAATTCAAGCAGCTTGATGTTTCTGTCACTACAGTTGTATATATTATTGAAAAATTCTAGATCCATTGTAGTCAACCTCTAAATAGGAGAAGATAAAGCTCAAGAAGCATCAGTGTCGGAGCAAAAGTGGACTTAATTGGAGACATCATTATTGAAAACAAATTAAAGCAAGACTTGAATTAGCCGAACTACATATTGACAAGCTACCAAGCTTATATATATATATATATATATATATATATATATATATATATATATAGCATATGTCAAGACAGGAACAGCGTCCATACTGTAATATATGGAGGAGGCTCTGTTATTTTCCTGAGCTGCTTTGCTTCATCTGATACAGACTGTCTTGAATTTCTGCAGGGTACAATGAAATCTCAAGTCTATCAAGGGATCTAGAGAGAAATGTGCTGCCCAGTGTCAGAAAGCTTAGTCTCAGTTGCAGATCATGGGTCTTGCAATTGCATAATGACCCAAAACACACAGCTAGAGACACTCAATAATGGCTTAGAGGAAAACATTGGACTATCCTGGAGTGGCCATTCACTAGCCCTGACCTTAATCCTATTGAGCATCTTTGGAAGGAACTGAAACATGCCTTCTGGAAAAGGCACCCCTCAAACCAGAGACAACTGCTTTGTTTGAAGAGTTGTTCATGAAGAGTGGGTCAAAACACCTGCTGAGAGGGCAGAAGTCTGACAGTTGCATGAATCGTTTGATTGCAGTGATTGCCTCAAAATGATGTGCAACAAATATTTTTTTTTAATGAATCTACTTAAGCATGGTTAAAAAAACATTGTTCGACTTTTATATGTTCAATTTAATAGATGTTTATTTATAACTTGTTTTCTAGAGTGTATTTAAGCTAATATTTCACTCTTAATGCAAAGCTCAACATTCACTAATTTTTTCAGACATAGTATTTATTTCAAAATATTTTAGTAGTGAACGTAGCAATCATATGTTTTGACTGTCATTTTGCATAATGCAAAAGAGATCATTTCCCACAGTGCTTTCTGTCTGTCACCTCTGGCGATGATTTTGATTGGCTGCTCCGCCATCTGCCTCCCCACCTGCAACTCACTCTTGATTTAGTAAGTTGGGGTGTGGTCCTCCTAATCCCCAATTGACTGACAGCAGGGAGGGACCTCTCATAGCTGGAAGCTCCTTCTGGCAGGGCCTTCCATTGGCTACCTTCTAGCATGCTGGTGTGCCAAATGCTGCTGATCATTTTTGTGTGGCAGTTGTATGTATGTGTGTGTGTGCAGGAAATAATCCCCTTTTGACAGGCAGCGTGAAGAGGCCATTCCGAGCTTATACGTTCCCAAAGGACAGTTCACCCATTGGCATTTTGCCATCTGTTTTCTCACCTGTTCTGCATTCATATTCAGTATATTTGAGGTGTGGCTAGTCTAAACAACAAAGAAATAGACAAATTTTGACTCAAAGTGGTCTCTGCTCTCGACAATGGATGAAACCCTATAAATAAGAGGCAGGGGTTTTAGTCTCCACATGGGGCTTCTTGTAGAGCACACTATGTCTGATCAAGCTGTTACTATAAAGCCATATCTTGTGTGTTTATGCGGCAATTTGAAAACAGTTTTTATGATCCCAAGACCAAAAGGCACATTAATGATTAAACTCTCTAAACCAGTTAAATCCAGCTTTCCATTTATAAATATGTCTTTCCTATCACCAACAGAATGAAATACTTCTGGTGCAATGCTCCCACATCCCTAGCCCAAACATTTGTCTTCATCAAGCCCAGAGTGTCCAATAAGAGCTAATGTGATTGTGCATATCATTATGTGTGTGCTGGAGGTGGAGGGAGGCAGATCTCATAGCCATGTTTACCTCGTCTGCTTAGTGATGGAGCAACCAGAATGATTCAATTACACCAATCAGATTGGATAATGATTTCAGTGTGGGCTGCCACTGCCTCGAGTTTTTTATCGCTTCCTGCGATCTTCCATACCCTCCTCTTCTCCCTTCTCCCTTTACTTCTCCCTTACCTGTTTTATTTATTACTTTCTTAGGTTGTAAAAAATTTCACAGATCAACAAATATTTTTTGTTAATCTAATAGCCTTCTCCACTTTGTCAACAATGCAGCCATCAGTGGTTGCAACAGTGGGTTTAGTATTGGCACAGCCTTTTTTCTGGCTGTCATATTCACTCTGCGTTACGTGATTGTGACAGTCCCAAGTCTTTCCTGATCCCCTATAGCAATGTCTGTAACTCCAGCAAGTCCCAAACTTTACTGCAGAAGGCTGTCTGACTTGCACTGTCAAGCATGGAAATGGAATAAAGGCTTTTTCAGGCAATAATTGTAATTAAATGCTGGATGAATGTGCGCACATACTCATTTTTAAACATCTTTATATACTTGTATTGCAGGAACAAATAGGGAAATCTTTAATGGTGTGATATTGTTGAAAAATCTGCATACTTTAAACAGCAAAGCAATATTAATTGCTAAATTCTATGTGTTATTAGGTGAACAGAAAATTCTGTTTTCTCTTTGTTTCTATTCGTTTTTTTTAATGCCAAATCTCCTTTCTACCCCATCCCTCCACACACCCCCACCGCCACCTTTTTTATTCTAGTTAAGGAAATATGGGACTTAGTTGAAATTAAAAGAAATTCTTCCATTTTAAATATTAACTTGAATTCCCATGACATTTTTGTCAATCAAAACATATTAACTTGTTTTTCTTAAGCATTTTGACTTTCACTTTGCTTGAGATTTGAAAGAAACTGACCAGTTAGCTTTTGCATTTACTAAAATTTACAACCAAAAAGTGAATTTACTCAGCAAAAAACTCAAATGTGATTAGATATTTACTTTGTTATTGCCTGTGTGGAGAACATTTTCATTGTACATACCAACAAAATATACACTTTAGAAGAAAAAAGTTTTTCAAAATGCTCAGTTCCTTTATATCCATTTGTTGGTGTAGTACGTCTTTGTATTTGCAGTTTTCCATTTAAGTCATTCAGTACCTCTTACTTATATTGAGTAGATGTTACAAGGTATCTTATTAAATTTCTCTTACCATTACACCTGTAGCTGTCAGACAGCACAGAAAAGGGTATCTGTTTATTTTTATTACTGTTCATTTTAACTCTAACAGATAAGTGTTTCACCCTTAGGTTTCTCTGCTTCGCTTTTAATCCATCTCTGTCCTTTTTCTCTTGGATTAACAAGATCTTTACGAGCTGCAATTACATTAACTTCTGTTGAATACTATACTATCAACACTTTATATTTTTACCCACCAGGAAATACTTTTATAATCTTTAAAAAAAAAAAAAAAGTGTAATATAGGTAGATAAAGAGTGATGCGGCGGGGGGAACAGACGATAGGCAGGATGGGGTCGGGGGGTGGATTTGCTGAGCCTGCTAATGTTAGGTTTAGTCATCCATGGTTAAATTCCTGACCTTGGGACATTTGCTATACATCTTCCTTCTTGCTTTAGCTTCTCATTTCCTGTATGCTTTCTTGAGCTGGATGCTACTAGTACCACTATCTGACCCACTGTATCATACAGTGTGCCAAAAGCAAATTGTGAGATATAGTGGGTTTGCAACACCTAAAATATATATTTTAAGCAGAGCTCTTGTCAAGATTTGATCCTAATTTAAGTATTTTTAATTGACCACTGTTTTGATACATGATTGTTTTGTTTTAGAATATTCACAAAGCTGAAATACTTAGCTGATAATGGGACTCTTGTAAAGTAACTGACCTATAATGACTCTTTAATTTTTTTTTTTCAGGACCATGCAGAGATCAACTCTACTGTACTGCGCAGCAAAACCAACACAGCACGCGTGGAGAGCCTCAGGCCTGGTACAGTTTACGTGGTACAGGTGCGAGCACGGACTGTGGCCGGCTTTGGCAAATACAGCAGCAAGATGTGCTTCCAAACCCTCACAGATGGTAAGGATTGTGGAGCCAGAGGAATCAGCTCTGTCTGCCCATCTCTCTGTTCTACTCTCTTTATTTTTCCCTAACTCATTTTGAGCTGGGCATTGTTGGACCCTTTTTTGTGGTGGATTATTGTCATCAGAAGTAAAGGATGAAAAAAAGCACAGTATGCATGATCGCTCTTCTATTTTTACAGCAAAATTGATTTCTGCGATGGTCAAGTTTAGGCTTGTGTGGGAGCTTTAAGCAAGAAAAAACTCTTAGTCACTTTTGTTTGTGTAGCTAACTGTGCTTCATTCAAATTTCTTTGCTAATGGTTTATTTTTTACCCAGCCCTTCTGTCGCTCGAGAGCTGTCCCAGAATACATAGCTGTGATTAGCAGTTGATGAGATTAATTTTCTTTTTTTCCGGGTACCAGAGGCTAGGGGCAGTTGGCAAGGGATAAGGGTCTGAAACACCTGGCAAACTGGCATGTGAAGCTATTTTCATTATTGTAGTTGCAGGAATGGGAGTGAGTAAAGTTGGCAAGACTGGTGAATCCCCTGCTCATAAGCTTTCCAGGCAGAAGTACTGGAGTTCATAACTAAACAGCATAAGTCTGTCTTGGTGGAATAAACATTTGACTGAAAAATGGTAACTCTGACTTACTGATTGACCACCTTGATTACTCACACAATCAGAATTCATAAAATATAAACAGCACAATAGAGGTATCCACATTTTACTGTTGGTGTTATAGATCTTAACATTGTACAGCATGATTACGCTCCCGAGGGAGAGGAAAATGGAAAAAAAAAAATCAAAATTATGATAAGGTGATCACATCAATTTACCTGTGCAGAGCAGACTTGGAGGCACAGTGATATCCCTTATGTTCACTCTGTTTTCACAAATTATCTTTCTGGGAAATATATTAGTGTGAGTTTAGACGTGTCCATGCAGCATGCATACCACACCCTCGTCCATGCTGTTTATGGTTCATCCTTTGGAAGGTTGCCATAACACGACATTCGTCAAGGCAATTATCAACAGACACCCGAGGACAGCCGACGATAACACCCACGCCTCCATCTCCTGCTCCTCTTACCAGTCAAACTGCTACATTTCTTCATGAACTGGACACCTTGTCTCCCTTCCAATCCTTGTCTTTCAATATATAGTATATTATAACATTTTCCTCCTGTTAGGAATTTTTCAAGAGACTTTTTAATCATATTTTCTTTACACTTCTCCAGAGAAAGAATTGTTGAAACAATTCAATTAATATTTTAAGAAAGGGATTTCATGTCTCTAAAGTGTTGGTCTGAAATGTATGGGAACATATTACTACTGGAGGAGCCTTGTGTGTCATTTTAAACTGTCAAGGGTAGTTGCCGTTCTTAGATTTGCAAAGGGAAGATTCATATAGACCTCTCACAATGAATATGCATCAAAACATATCAGGAAGAGTGCTTGGAATCTGAAAAGAGGCATTCAAAATATTTTATTGAAATGTTTTTGAAAGATTCAAGTTAATAGAGCGCACAGTTCCTGTCACATTGAGTTTCCTCATTTACAGCAGCTCTCACGCTGTTCCCAAGGTGCATTAGTTCTCCCTTTATCACTTCAATCCAATGTGTCCATTCTGTGTGGGGGATGGGATTTAGAAGCTGCTGATCTGCCTTTAGCATGCTTAATTCTAATTTTGCTTTTACTGCTGAGCTCCTGGTGTCAAAGTCACTGAAAGACAGGCTCGAAAAGATATCTGCCTTTTTTGCTGCCTTTGCACATTTACATAGACTTATAGGCTGTCCTCTGGTCTTAAAACAGCCAAGTCTAGCTAGATTAAGATAGTAGGTGACTGAGAGTAAATGGTTTTATATTAACACTTGTACAGCCAAGTGTGACACATGCAAGGGCTGTTTACAAACAACTCACTTCTTTTTTTTAAGCATTGACTAAGTTAATTTTATTACATATCCCTTTTCCCTTTCTTTGTGTGACCAAGATGACTTCAAGTCTGAGCTGAGGGAACAGCTTCCTCTGATTGCGGGGTCAGCAGCTGCTGGAGTGGTCTTTATTGTTTCACTGATTGCTATCTCCATTGTGTGCAGCAGGTAACCAGAGTTTTGCTTATTATATCTCTTGTAATTCATTCTGTAAAATATTGTTCATGCTACTTCTGTCACTGAGATAAATGAACAAAGGCTCCTATTGGCAAGGGTTGATTACATTACCAAGCTTTACAGATGTTTTGGACAGTTATTCTTTTACAAATGCAAAGATTTTCTGTCTTACCTGCAATTAAAACTTTTCTTGATGAATGTTCTGAAGTGGCCTGAGTTTTCGCCTGCTCTAAGGTAAGTTATACAGCTCAACAGCTAGGGTGCACTACTGGTCAGCAAAAACAAGGGCAAGATACATTGTTTGGAGACATTTTATAGTGCAAAAAAATACACAGTCAGTATTTGACATCTAATGCCTCTCCCATTAAGAGACGCTGTTTCTAAACAACAAGCAGCATGTCAGGGATATCAGCACAGAGAGCTTTGAGTTGTTGCTATGGAATTTTGCCTTGTTGTTTATGTCCAAATTTACTGCTGTCTGTCTCTACAATAGCTTTAATTTGCTTATGGATGGATCATATTAGGAGTATACCGTAGGCCCTTCCATGGTGTCCGAACACCAAGCCTGTCTTCTAACATGCAGCATGTAGTGGAGGACAGAGTCAAATAAGCATAGAACGAGGGATAGCATTGCCAAAATTTCAGCTCATTACAAATTATTTGCATATTATATACCATCTTACCCATTGTGGCCCTTCTCTGTTTTTTCTCTTAACTAATGTAAAGGCAGCACCTTTGATTGCAACAAGGCCTCGGACACTGTGTATCCCTTATTAAATGTGTGTTTTTTTTGTCTTATCTTGGATGGGCTGTGCCAAAAGTGAAATTTCCCATTTTGGGATCAATAAAGTATTGAGTAAGTGATAATAGCCACAAATGTCATTGATTTTGATTGTCCGCCAAATTTTCCATTAACATTTTTGTCTAGTTGTTGTCTCTAAAAACGAAAACGTACGTACATTTCAGGGTTCTCGCCAGCTTACATCAGTGTAATACGCTGTTAAGCTCAAAAAGGTCACCGTTTCCCGAAGATAAAGCTGAAATGCCAATTTTTTGAGAACATAACAGCCCTTTTACTGACATCTGTGCTTCTTTACCAGCGCAATTCAGCACAGTTGCTGGTTAAGCTGAAACTTTTAGAAGTGCAATGGAATTATACCAATAGCCTGACTTTTAATGAGACTTTTTAAACACATCTACCCCCCTTATTTGCACATGTAGGGTTACAGACTACATCTCTAGCAGCAAGAGAGCAAGTTTTAATAAAAAAAAGAGAAAAAAAAATCACTCCCCGATACGCTGGTTATGCTAACACTTTTAGAATCGTAATGATTGTTCCATCTATCTGTTTATCGTCATGATAAAATGTCGACAAAGAGTTGTCGTCATCATAATTGTTAATATAAATAATACTGCTCTACAAAACCAGATTAGCAAAAACATGGTTATGCATTGCAACGTATTTATTTAAAAGGACATATTTTTTTGTAGCTTTAGGACTAATTGTAGATTGAGTGGGTTTATACCTTTCCTTCACATTTTGTGTCTCAGTGCGTAAATGTCATTTTAAAAGGGGGCATCTGAGTCAATTTAATATTTTGTAATATTTGGCTAAAAATCTAATCAGAGATTAACAGATTAACCTCATCACCTGATACCATGATAATCTTAAAAATAAGAATAAGGAGATAAGTCGTTTTTTGTTCGCCCTTCTCAAAATATTCTTGTCTTTCTTCTACCCTACCATAAGTGAGATTAAATGGCTGAAATAGGGCATAGAAAAAATAAACTGATTTTACAGAAATGGATAAGCTGTTACATTTTAAATATGAAACTCTTTCCAAAGCGACAGTGACAACTCCACGCTATTAAGCCAATTTTTTTTTTCTTGCAGCAGTTTGTCACCTTGTCAAATTCCTGTCTTGCTCCACTTAGAATATATGAAGGTTATGTTTTCTTCAGTGATGTGCACAAGTTAAGCAAGTCAAGTGCTCATCAAAGAGGGCAGGCTCTTTTGATGCCAAAGCAGAGGAGACACATGAAAAGAAAAAGATCCCTATCAAGGTCTAATTAAAAATCAACTCATTTTCATAAACTTAATCTGCCATTGGTTTCCACTGAAACTGATTTGGTTTCATCTGCATCATCTTCAGGCAGTACAGAACATCATGTGCCATCTTTCCTTTCATCATTTCAACTCTTATATTCTCTCTTCATCTTGCTGCTCTCTCAGGAAAAGAGCATACAGCAAGGAGGCAGTGTACAGTGACAAGCTGCAGCACTACAGCACAGGAAGAGGTGAGTCCACTCTACTAATCACAGTAACAATTCCTAGAGGTTGGTTTACAGTACTAGGTTGCTCCCTTTAATCTGCTGCAGGTAAAAACCTGCATACCATCTTGCAGTGACCTTAGTCATAAAAAATAGTTTATTTAATGACCAAATTGATTAGTATGATTTCTGGTGTCTCATAAAATCCTCAGTAACAAGGTGAAGCATGCATACTTAATTTAACTTTGCATTGTGTATTCTACTTGACTTTGCACCATTATTACATCAGTATTATTTAAAGCATGGGAAAGACAGGCAGGTATAACCCAAATTACTAAGGATCAGTGTGTGTGTAAAGCTTCAGAGTGTGTTTCAGTTAATTGCATTTATTTTAAGTAAAATAAATGCAAAATAAAGTTAAAGTTAAAAGAAAAGGAACATCATGCAGTAAAATTAAACATACCTCTATAGCCCTGGAAATTTCACTAAATTCTCAAAACCCTCAGCATTAAACCTTTTTCTAACTCTTCTTTTGAAATTTGCTTATTTTTTTACGGTAAACCTTTTAAATTAAATTCTATCCTGTAATTGCAAACATCCCTGGCATGCTTACATTTGTTTTCTTAAGTAATGATTATTTACTCAATAAATGTGTTGGTAAAAGGCTGGTAATATGGTTCTTGTTTTTCTTAATGTAATTATGCAACATATGAGGCTTTACTGACTTTCCCTTATTTAATGAATGTCTGCTGTCTTGTCTGGAACAATAACATTAAATAACAAATATCATTTGCAAATTGGGTAGTTGGATGAGTGATGACTAAAAATAATGATAAGATTGTGTTTCTTTATCAAAGTATTCTTTTTTTGTATATTTGCATATGTAAGTATAGACCTATGCCTAAAAGTATTCAGAAAAAAGCAGGCCTTATTATGGTCATGTTATGAAATTGTTTTATACTATATTTAGTATAGAACATTTGTAATGCTTCATGTATACAAATAGGCATAGACACGAAGGGGTTTTCAAAATATAACATATATAATATAATAAATGATCTTCCCCACTTATGTATATGCATTTTCAGAAAAAAGTTTGTTAAGACATAGACTATTCTAAATTTAATGAATTTTTTAAAATTTACTTTCCTCTAACTGTTGAGCTAATGGTTGAGCTAATAGTAAATTGCTTGCCTTGCCTTACCTTGATGAGAAGGGGGTTACACATATGCTTTTGTAAATTCTGGCATACATTTGAACTTAGTCATCTTTACCCAGATGTTCTTTAGGGAAATGCTATGGGGTAAATTACAGTCCTCTACAACTTTTTACCATTCAAGCTCCATACAAACATTTACAGCACACCATATTGTGTTCATTGCAGAAATAAAAAGAAAATAAAGTAAAATGGGAAAATATTCCGGTAAATGTTTTTCGACACAATTTTCTGTCCTGTCGAATATGACATTGACTAAAATCTCTTTGGGGTGCATGAAAGCCATGATTGAGTCTTGTCTAAACCCATTCCGAGCTATTCACTGATGAGGAGAACAAAGCCCAGAGGGGCATACAAATAATCTCGGGCACACTCATTCAAACACATTCACACAAAGGAAGGTGTTCAGGCTTTGTAGCTTATATGAAAGCTCTACAATCTGCTAACCAAGCAGTCTGAAAAAGGGACTTTCACCCTGGGAATTGAGTTTTGTTGAACCTGACACAGCAAAGTGTTTCAACACAGTTACTTTGTGTCAAAGTCACAGAAAGGTGGCAGCTTGGGGCTCATTAAAGACGCTGTGGACATGCGGTGTGGGAGTCAGGTCAGTCATAACTATATTTTGGAGAGCATTGTGTAATTTGCATAAAGTAACTTGTAAAAAAAAAAATTAAAAAGACTGAGGATTTTTACAGCTAAATAAGCAATCTGAAATGGAAAAGAAATAAAATGCTGATGAGGCATCCTATTCACAGATTTGGTTGTTAAACATTCACACTTCCTACACTCAGAACCCCCTCTCCCCTATCTCCACCAACACCTCATGGTGTTTTGTATTCCTCTATTATCTTAAGACTTGAGTGACAGTTTGATAATGAGGGTATTCCACTAACAATAACATTGAATCACTCTGTCATTTGTTTTGTATAAACCTCAAAAAGAAACGCTTCGTCCAGCTGCCTCCAGACATTGGCGTACATCTTAAAATGTCTTCCAAATCTCCAGCCCACCCCAAGAAGAATAATGCGTTAATTAAACAGATTGACTGATGCAACTTGGTGGCTACTTTTTACATTACACAAAGATTTAGAGACGACTCCAGCAAAACGATGTAGAATGAGTTTAGTCAAGGATGAAAAAGATCACATACTTCAAGCAGAAGGAGAATTGAATGGATGGAAGTCTCTGCAGAGCCAATGAACTAAACAAATTCTCTGACAGGTTCAGTTCAGGAACGTGCTCAACTTCCTTCTCTCCTCCCAATTGCCAAGCAGACATCCTACCCACCTAAGATCCAAAGCTTCCCTGTCACACCTCAAGTATTTTATCTTCAACCTTTGCCATGGACCTAGTTCTATGTTTGTTCTCAACCAATTCAGAAGATAGTGCTCTTCCCTTGCCTTCCCGTTCAACTCTCTGTCTCTAGAAGTCAGATAAAGAGGCAGCAGGAGACACAGGACCAGAACAAGACTCAAGGTCCAGATAGAGTCATCCACCCAGTTATGAAGGCCTTTTCAAATTAGCTCTGTAGGATTCTATTGCATTTATCCAACCTTTGCCTGATCCAGGAGATGATTCTGATATTGATTACAAGATTACCAAAGCAAAGTCAGTCATCAGTCTTTAATGACTATAGACCTGTCGGGTGACATCCCACATCATAAAGGTGCTGTTTAGACTGAGCTGAAGATTCCATAATTTAGACACAACAGTGAGCACTATGAGGGTCGTGCTCTATTTATGCTTCAGTGCATTTAACTCGATTTGGCCTGATTTGCCTCGTCAGAAACTCCTGAGGACTCAGGTGGAGGTCCAGCAATCACTTGGGTCAAGGACTCCCTGTGTGTGGGTTTGTTTATTTGTTTCTGCATTCCTTGACTTACAGTGACACAGTAGTACTTCCAGCTTAATATTTGTTGGCGAGTCGCCATCCAGCTGCAGTTCTGTGTTCTCAATTCTTGATTTAGCAATAGCTTAAATATCCTCATTTGTGTAGTATGCAAGTAAGTGAATCAGTGTCACTTCAGGCTCAGTACTAGTTGGAATTTCACTTCTCAGCAGCAGTTGACTTAAAATATGCAGAGCTACTGCATACAGAGAACTGATGCTGTGGAGTAATTTACCAACTAGAGCTGTGATGGAAATACCGTTGTGTCTCTTATTCACATATAGCAGGAATGATCTTAAAAAATGAAATGATTTGGTGAATTAGTCTTTTGAGCAAATTATTTTAATCAGCTTTTTATAAGGATTTACATCAGGTTCAACATTTTAATACTGGACATATTGGTAATAAGCCTCAATGTTTATAGACCATAATTAGTAAAAAAAAAAAAAAACACCTAAATTAAACGTGCAGTATTAAATCATTAATATCACAAAGGATAAGAGATGTGAGGTTGCACTAACATCACATATACACTGTTATAGTGAACATCACTGCCCCTTCATACCCTTTCCGTCCTAATAAAACATAAGAGTAACGGTTATTGCCAAACTAATAGGCCACAGTGTGTGTGAAAGACAGACGATTTTCTGAAATCAAACAGTAGATAGAATTTGTTTAGAACCATACTTCATCATACTGTGAGACACACACATAGATTATTCTTAGACATAAAATGAACAGGAACTCACTATAGTGACCTGCTGTGTGTTAATTCCTAAGCAAATATAATCACAGAAAACAGTTAATTGCTAGCTCTTCATTAATGCTTAGGCGTACTGTATGGAAATTAAATCTTTGTCAGAGAAAATGAATTAGAGGGAAGTAAGTCCCCTTGCTGAAAGTATGAAAGATTCCTCTAACTTAAAAAGATTTGCTTTAATAAAGCTGAAACCCCAATTTGTCTTAAGACTGTATGTAAATCCTGTTGAGAAAGACCACTAATTTGATTTCCTCCATAGTTGTATTAGATCATAGGAAGCATTGATCCTGTATGGTTGAATTGTGGATGCATTACACCCACTTACTAAACAAGCATAGTAGATTACTACTTGAATGACAGAAGATATTATGATTAAATACTGTGTGGTAAACTGAAACTTAAATCAATCACCCGAAAAAGAAAAAAAAATTACTATATGTTTACTCTGTGCTGCCAGTATAGCTTCCGGCCATAAGGTTGTGATGTAGATACAGCTGTTGTATTTGTGGATCAGATTTGTTCTTGTAAGTCCCAGGAGTTTCAGACTGTTGTATTATGGAGCCCTGCTTGTTTGGTGTGATTATTATTTAGGGAGCAAGCTAGATTTGGTTGAGTTCTGTTCTGTGATAATATCCCTTTTTTGTTCAAAATAGAAAATTTTCAATAGTAAACACTGTTGATGGGGAAAAAGTAGTTTCTGATAGATATTTTATTATTTGGATCCTTGTGTCACTGATAAATGTTTTGTGGGATGTAGTATGATGATTGATATCAATTTCTTGAAATATAAAAAATGGTAATAGAATAAATATTTGTAATATGAATAAATACAGCCAGTATATTGACAACATTCTAGGTTGCATTCTGATAGTCCAACCAGACTCTTTTAGAGAGATAAAAAATGCACAATTTACATGAAATATGTTGTAGCTTAGCTGTCAGCTGAGTATATTAGGGGATATTAATGAACTCTTAAATTCTTAAATCCAATGGGTTTTTTTTTTAGGCACTGAGTCATTGGTGGAGCTATGCATCGTCAACCCTCAGAGTACATGTTTTGTGTTGGTAAAGATAGAAATGATGTTGCAATACATTTTCTTCATAGACTTAGATGAAGGGCTTTTAAAATATTAATGTTAAATTGAGAGTCTGTGTTTTAGCCAGTGGCCAGAAAAAGATGAGTCCAGTTAACCAGGGCTGTACCACAGGGAGGAAGAAAAATAGACTGTTTTTGCATTTTAAATTATAGATAAAAGTGGGCTCTTGGGTATGACTGAGAAAGTAAAACTTTTGAATTTATTTAGGCACCTGTTCACATTATCTTGATACTTAGAGTAAGATGCTTTACGTGCCTGTTACCATATATGGTTCCCTTGATAACGGCTTGGAAAATAGTAAGCCTAAAATGTATACTCTGAACTAAAAATGTAAAGTGAACATGATATCTAAATATCAAGAAAAGTTGTCTAAATCTATTAAATTTAAAACTACAATAAACTCCTGGTTAAGAGCAATGTGAGGTACTTTGATCAGCGGAGCACACCTTTATTTTGCCTCTTGAGAAACCTACTCTTCTTCTGTATAGTGAATCCACATGACTAAGTACAATTTTGACTCAATAGAGAAGGGTTTATTCAAAATATGGCTGTCTAAGAGTGGAATAAACTGCCCCTCTCCTTCGATGTGTCCATAGACATAATAATTTGATATCTAGTTTGCTTGCTGTGTGTCCTTTTGCACCACATAAAATTAGTTTTCAAGTGTTTTTTTTTTATTTTTTTTCTACCCACCAAACCTGTCGACACATTAAACCTTTCCTCTGTTTGGAGAGACATCTCCTGTTTGTGAAGTGTGCTTGCCTGTTTCGGTATTGCACAAAGAGCTCGCTGAAGGCATGGTGGTTTTATCTCTTTATGAGCTCCTATTGCAAAGGGCTGCTGGAAAATTGGTTCCCCCGTGATGAAAGACCAGATATTACTAGAGTAAGGAATAAGGATGCAAAAAAAGGCATATATTTTTGCTTTCTATATGCCCTTGCATTTCCCTCTATCCCTTAATGCTTTGCTCTGTTTTTTTTTTTTCTGGTCTCACAAGCTACTCTAGCTAAGACTATGTTGTATTTATGAAAGCTGTCCCTGTAACAGGCCACCTACTATATACTGTGTAAGGGAGATTTAGATTAAAAAAATATTTTTCACCAGATTTTTATTTTATTGTAGCTGAGGCTTTAAAAAAGGCTATGTCTGCTGAACCTCGAGCTACTAGAGCTAACATTTTTTTTAAACCTGGAGTTAAGCTACAAATCAAAGGAGCAATAAGTATGAAATGTAAAGTAAAATTTACCCCGATCATTGTAATTTGTCACCCAGAATGGAAGTAACAATCAATAAAAACTATCTGTCCTCTTCATCAACACTATCTTAGTTAGGTTTTTCTCATTTCAAGCCTAGAGGTACGTTCCAGACCTACTTTGGTGCAGTGTATAGCCCCCATTACTTTCTCGTTCCTGAGCCAATAACATGAGAATTCCTAGGGTTGCCAAAACAAAGTGCCACATTTGGCATGTTATGTTTGCAACAGAGCAGCAGCCTTAAAACATGGAAGCCAACAAGAGAAGCAGAACAGTATTAGTTTCAACAATATCTAACTAGCCTCCGCAATCTTCAAAGTATATGCACCTGTGCCTAAATTGCCTTCACTCCTAGTTTTCAATTGGCACTCTGCATAACACTCTCTGAAGGGTAGGAGGAGGTGTGGACACTGTTTTTTGATAGTTGTTCACATTTTATAACACTAAGTGTTATTATCACTTAGTGTCCTATGTATCTCCTTCAAATATTTATTTGATTCATCAGACCCTTCTAAAATATTTAATCCAAGTCTAAACGTAGAGTATCACCATCTTGAAATCTCACTAAGAACTTTTGTTGTCTTAGAACTCTCTCTGCGAGCCGACATGTCTAACTGCCCTTCCCCACTGGGCTGCCCGACCCACTTCTCAGGCTCTCCTGGAATGAAGATCTACATTGACCCGTTCACTTATGAGGACCCTAATGAGGCTGTGCGAGAATTTGCTAAGGAGATCGATGTCTCCACTGTCAAGATTGAGGAGGTCATCGGTGCAGGTATGACAAAGTGAATATAAAGGCAATGTATTTCTGTCTGCACATGTAGTTTTTCGGGTGTGACATGATATGGATGTAAACTGCTGTTTTTTCATGTTCCTGCATATTGTATATAAAATATGGATATGTCTTTGTAACTTTAAGTTTAACTTGAAACTGCTCTGCTGTAGTCAGACAAAGTCAAATCTCTTCATCAAATTAATCAGAAGTATCCGTGTCAAGGGCTAAGGTCAAGTCCACTAGAAGTACAGTATGTAGGACAGCTTGGGAACCAAGGGAATTAAATAACTTAAGTATTTCAGCTCCTCCTTCTGTGTTTCTAAATTTTTTATTAAAACATTAAACCTCACTCAATTGTTTTTGCAATATTTTGCCTTTCCAAGCACATTTTATCAAATTTGCATGTATGAAATTGTGGACATTGTTCTGAAAGTAGCTTTTACATTAGTCAGTTGTGTTACACTCATGTTCCTTCACACAGGACGAAGCAGTGTAGTTTTACAGCCAAGGGGGGCGTGCTGTGCCTCTTCAGGAAGGTGCTAAGATAGTGGTAGTGTGATTGGGATTGGAATAGCTCCTAAACCACGGCCTTCTCAGCAAGCTAGGTGTGAGCTAGGGTAAAGATGAGAAACCGAAGGGGGCTAGCTAATTAAGGATTTCCGTTTCAGCTGAATTCTTGGTGTGGTGTCTCGATAGGACAGCAAGCTGGTGATAATTAATGAAACAAGTGCCAGAATTTTACCAGTCAGCACTTGGCTGATTTTCTTCAATTTGGGAATACAACAACATTTGGCAGTCTTTTAGGATAGGGTGACTGCTGTGAGTCAGAAGGAACCACACTGTTAAGATCATGGATAGTGGATCAACACTAGCAGCAGTGTATCAAAACATTTAGCATGGCTAAAAGTTATATAATGAACTATCTCGTTAGGAAAACTAAGGTGTGGCTAATTTAAAAAATAAAATAGAGTAGCTATGAGGAGATTATTTTCAAGGAACTCTAAATACTCCATTGTTTCTTACTAGGTGAATTTGGAGAGGTGTACAAGGGTCGTTTGAAGCTGCCTGGTAAGAGGGAGATCTATGTGGCCATCAAGACCCTGAAGGCTGGCTACGTGGATAAGCAAAGACGAGACTTCCTGTCAGAAGCTTCTATCATGGGGCAATTTGACCATCCCAACATTATCCGCCTGGAGGGTGTCGTCACAAAAAGCCGACCAGTTATGATTGTTACAGAGTTTATGGAGAACGGTGCTCTTGACTCGTTCCTAAGGGTAAGTTATCCATATGAAAGCAAGTCGCATGTATTGTATTTGCTTATGGAACTCAAATCAAATATTCATCAAAATGAATTAAGGAAAATAATCTAAAAAAGTTGATGTTGTTATGATGAGCCAAATTAAGATGTATTTGATTTTATTTATTTCCACAACAATTTCTTTTATCCGCTTTTATTTACTCTACTAACCTTTGAAGCTCATAATAGACTTATCCCTTTATTAATAAAATTTCAGAAGACATGCAGCTTAGCCAATATTCAGCATTTTCTCTCCTTCAATCTCATGGATTGACATTCTATTCCACTTTGATCTACAGTGGGTTTAAATAGGCTCTTTGAAGTTGGCCTCGCTAACTGTCACATCCGACTTGTGTTGCTCTAGATCTCTCCTTACCCTCTTATTTGTTGTTTAGTTTGAAAGGTTCAAAGCCTGTTCTCATGAACATTTAAACAGTGATAAGAGCACCAGGCATTGTGGTCGGATAGATGAATTCTTGTTTGCCAGAGCTCAGAATTTTATTACAATACAAATTAAAAACCAATTTACAATTTGTAAAAAAGGGAGGAAATGGCAAATAATTATATAAGCATATAACACTGCCTTTTTACTGGATTCCCCTCACATATGTGGGTGTTTGAGCGACAACATATCTTGTTCTCTTGTCTTTCCGTGCATATGCCCTGTGGTTGTGTTAATAATTATAAACTGCCAGGCTTTTCTAATTCTGGAGGAGAAGAACATAATCCAAATGAGTTGTCTCGATACATCACAAAATATTGATATTTGGGGCATGTTGTACCTTCCCACTCAAAATCTAATTTGAAAACTCAGCTGAAATGATACATTTTTCATCCTTGTAGCTGTGGATTTGAGGTAAATCTGAATTATGTTAATGTAAGTTATTAAACCTTATTTTAATTTACTATTTGTGCAATGCACTCCAAGGCTCCTATAACCCCAGTTTTTTGGTTTTTTTTAACACTATGGTGTGTAAAGGATAAGACTTAAATGTACAGCAGATTGAATGTTGTTCCACTACAGTATAAAAGTGTAATATGTGGTCAGTATGACTTGAACAGTGATACATATTCACATTCCAGTGTTTTGCAACCATTTATTTGATACAGGATTGTCAGATATGAAAGCCTCACATCTTTCCATTATACTTTTTGCCTTAATTAATAATTAATAATTATATCTCTATCTTATCTTACCATTACATGTTTCTCCTTACTATTTTTGGCTTGTCCATGATGAAATATGTAATTCCAGTTAAGCTTGAAGATATCCATTTCCTAGCAGCTGATTTATTTATCTTTTTTGGCATTAGACTTTTTTCAAAAAAGAAATATCTAAATTATCCATCCTTCCATCCATCTTATTCCGTCAGGGTCACAATGGGGCCGCTGGCTATCTCCACCAGTCTTTGGGTGAGAGGGTACAGCCTGAACAGGTCGCCAGTCTGTCACAGGGCAAAACCAAGACACACATCCATTCACACACAGACTCACACCTAATGACATTTAGAGAAGCCAATTAACAGTCATGTTTTTGGACTGTCGGAGTACCTGGAGAGAACCCACACATGCACAGGGAGTACATGCAAACTCCATGCAGAAAGACTTGGGCCAGAAATCGAACGAGGAACGTTCTTGCTACAACCGTGCCACCATCAAGCCCCTGAACTAAATGTATTAATTATACCGTAGTTGGCTGCATCTTGTGTGGTCAGCCTTGCAAATATAGCATCTAGTAAGCAATTTTCCTTTAATTTCATCTCTTACCTCCAGCAAAACGATGGTCAGTTTACAGTGATCCAGTTGGTGGGAATGCTTCGGGGCATATCAGCAGGGATGAAATACCTCTCGGAAATGAATTATGTGCATCGAGACCTTGCTGCACGGAACATCCTTGTCAATAGCAACTTGGTGTGCAAAGTTTCTGACTTTGGTCTGTCACGCTATCTGCAAGAAGACACATCGGATCCAAGCTACACCAGCTCTCTAGTGAGTACTTTTAATTCTCTTTTTTAATTTGTTTCTGTGCACTGTGTAATCCTCCTTGACTAATCTAGTAGTTATAATTTAAAGTCCCCATGGATTTTTTTCAAGTGACATGTACAGCAACTTTAAATCACCCTTCCGACCAAAACATGTCAGTCAAGTTTTGACTTTGACAATATCTCTTTCTTTCTTGAAGCCCTTTCACCTTTTCAGAACAATTCATTTTAAAGAACTGTCTCTCTTTTTTATTATAACCACTCTTGTGCTTTTTCCGCTACTGTGCAAATCATGGCCCTGAGGTCTGTCAAGTCTTCATTAGCGTGGAGACAAGCCTCCTCTGGGAAGGCTCCTCTCTTGTTGGTATGCCCAAAGAGCAGAGAAACCAAAGGCCATTGCAGCCTTTCAAAATGACATCTCCTACCTCTTTCTCTCACTCTCTCTTGCCTTCCCTCATCCTCCTCACTCGCTCCTCATTTATTATTACTGGGTCATCATGGGAGGCTTTGGCTCCTCATTAACTCCTCCACACTACAGATCTGTAATTATTAGCAGCCATCATTAGTTCATCTTCTGCCTCTTCTTTTCCTAATTCAAAACACACTTTTACCCCCTTAAAAACACACAGGTCCAGGTCATTAGGAAGCGAGACATGTCTCAGGTTGCACAGGCAACTTTAAGTGTTTGTGTGTGCGCACCAGCTTGTATGTAAAAGTCTTTGTGTGTGTTTCTTCCTATGACTGTGCTTATATTGTCACGTCATTGACTATTCTTAAGTCTTTATTGCAAATTAAGTTGTTTACTGCTTTTTGTGGCACGTGTTTCTATCTGCTATTGCTTTAAATAGACCTCATTTGTTAGAATATGTTTACACAATAAGGTTACATTTTTAAGATATACAGAAATTACTTGAGAAGTACCTGTACAGTATTGTGATACTCTAATGACTAATATGCTATTTCACACATAGTGAATCGCTTTATTAAGATTATATTTCACAAAAATATATCCAAAGCTAAGCATGACAACAAGATAGATACTTTTACATTTTGATATAAATAATTCAATTTTTACCACACCTGTCTAGTAATTGCGGAGAACTTGCTATAACAACTATAAACATGTAGGTAATTTTGATAAAATGATCTCTCATTTATTATACAGAAATATGTTATCAAAACAGTTTAACAAAATACAAACATATTTTAATGTTTTAACCCCGTAGACAAATTGGGCCTGTACAGTATTTAGAATCATTTTTCAAATTCTTGATTGACTTTAATTGCATATTGATAGTAATGCCTGTAATGCAGTAGCAGATTTTCTAAATGTCTTTAACTTTAAGTAACATGTTTCTATTGTACCTTAGTTTTTTGTTATGTGCTACACATTAATGATGTACAAGTTGAACAGGTTCATGTCAGTGACCACAGCTGCATTTCCTTTTATAAATGTCTTGTCACATACTATGACTATAAAAACATTACCAAACACAAATATATGTTAATATATGTTATTTCACTCACAATGTCTCCTTTAACTTTTATACAGATGACATTCAGCTATCTTGTTCAATTAATTGTTCTTGCAAGTCACTTAAAACAACTTGTCTGAATTATTTTTGTTGTTGTGTTGTTTTATACCACATGGTGACAGCCCAATTGAAATAGTACAGACTTTGCCTGAAAGCCAGAATAGTTAAGGGAAGCTTACCATTTTAAACGAGCCTGTATGTTCTAAGAAGAGTGGTCCAATATACAGTAAGAATTATGCCAGAATATTTCTGAAAACTTCAAAAAGTTCATGGCATTTCTAAGATTAGCTAATAAAAATGTCTAAACATTTTAGATGGGGTGCATTTAATGTATTATTTGGTCCTTAAGTATCAATCCATTCATCCTCTGTTGCTTATCTGTCAGGGTCATGGTTTGTGGCTATGAAAAAATGGTGAGGTACACCCTGGTCAGGTCAGCAGTCCATCCCATGGCAACCCCTAGGCAGAAAACAACACACACCCAAGGGTAATTTAGTGTAACTAATTAAGGTAACTGTCATGATTTCAATTCAGTTCAGTTTATTTATATAGTGCCAGTTCAAAAAAACATCTCAAATCACTTTCCAGAGACAATACTGTAACATTGGTTAGGAAAACCAGTTGACCGCATCCAGTTGATTGACTTGCAAGACCTGCTCCTCCTGGATAGCTTGCAGCAGCAATTTTCAATTGCATTATATCGTTGACTCTTCAGCGATCCCTCAAACCAATCATGCATGTAGCGACAGTGAAGAGGAAAACTCCCTTTTAACAGGAAGAAACCTTTAGCAGAACCGAGCTCAGTGTGAGCGGCCATCTACTGACAGCGACTGGGGCTCAAGGACTAATCCTGACCCTTAGTCCCTAAATCTGGTTTCTAGCCAGAAAGAATATTGTGATATTCAAAACAGAATGCAAACTTTTACCCAGAACTGTAGTTGTACCAGAAATGCTTTAATGATTATGTCAGGGTTTTTTTTTTTTATCTTGTTTCTCTCACAGTGGATGGTTACACATCAAACAAACAAAAAATATAATTTGGGTTCTCATCTCAAGCAGAAATTTATAAAACTGAAACTAGGAATTGCTTGTAGAATAAAATTGGTTTTACAAAAAGGCACCACTGGTTTTATCTCTAAATGTATTTTTTGGTAATAGTTTAGAATTACTGTTTAAAAGGTAGACACCATTATCATTTTTATATGTAATGAAATCATAAAAAACAGGAATACATACTGTACATATTGTCATTCCAAGCTCTTGGTAGATTATTTTTATTCGAAACTACATTTCCAAAAAAAAAAAAAAAAACACCTTTACATTTTTTTATCACTTCTGTCTCGTGATAACATTATTTTTGTTTAACTGCTGGGTTTTAAGTGCATAGGGGCTTTCCCTAAACACAAACATGATTTTGTGAGTCTAACTGAAATGAATTTGTGAACGACCCTTTCACTCTGCGAACGTTTAGATAACATAGCTAAAAATGTCTTAAATATATTTTACAAGTTTCTGGTAACATTAAAGACCCTGTATCCCCTGTAAGGTATGTTTTTTTCATAAGAACTTTACCTAAGAAACCCTCTTTAGTTTATGCTGCAAGCAAACAAATCCACTATGGAGGGAAACTACATGTTCACACAATATTTAAGTCTAGAAAACTTACTTTGTGCTTTTTAATCTGAATCAATATGTTAGATCATATGCCTTTTTGGAAAAGTATTCTTTTATTATTTTTACAATGCAGGTTTTTTTGTTAATCCATGCATTAAAAATGCAAAATGTAATGTTATAATATAATGGGCAGAAATTACATATCTCCATGAGGCTCGTTACAATTTGAGGCAATTATCACAATATGTGGTCATAGTCGCTTTTTATTGTGTTTTGATATCTGAATTTATTACATATTAAATATTCTGATTTTACCAAGCTTAAGGTAGAAATTTATGTATAATACCCTCATATTTATTTGTGCCACCTTTTATTTCAATCAGCCTTGACCTGTTTCTCACCTACCCCATTCTTTTTTCAAACTGACAGCCTCCAGGGGCCCCACACACTGGTTCACAGAAATACCTGAGAATGAAAAGTTGAATATATTTTACAGAACTGTCATGGGGTTTCTTCTTTTGAAATATCTTCATGGCATACAATGTAAGCATGTACTTCGTGGTGGGACTGTATATCTTATGAATAAATGAATGCAATCCTGAATATGTTATTCTATAGAGGGTTTATTTTAGGATGAGCATCAGAGGTATCAAAACACTTGCAAACCTTGAGATCAAAAACACTTGGGTGTCCTGTGAATTGGTGCTACACAGGGACAAAAAGAGTTCTCTAAATAAACTATCCTAGTCTAAAATTAGGATAGTTAAAAAGGCAATGATATAAAATAAGTTTGAGTTTTGTTTTGCATTTCAAACCATCTTGATGAAAACATTGTACCAACCAATCGGCAAGTGTTGATTGCCAAGGTTGGATGAGCAGTAGTTTTTTCTAAGCCAAAGAGAGCTAATTGCTCCCTAGGAATAGCATGCTTTGTATCCTTGACCCCTGCAGCTAAACCTAGCTAAATAGGTATTACTTAACAACAAAGAGAAGCAGCACCTCAGCTGTTTGCGCTACTGAGCTGGCTAATATAATAGGATTTAAAAGGATTGGGGTATAGATTGTGGTCAGTGTTTTGATGTTCGCTAATGGAAAACTGTACGTACAAGTCTATTTGAAGGCCTTATCTTGAAAAACGACAGACCAAAAGAGCTGTGTGATGGCAAGATACTGAAGGTTATTGACGAGGAGAGATTTAATTTTTAAAGGTACTGTTTTAGCAAAATAAGTCAATTTTAAATTTGATTACAACCCAATATATAGCTAAGTGCTGCATAACATGCTGCCTCTACTATCCAACTGCAGTTAGGCTATTATATAAATAAAAATCTAACCAAAGAAAAACACTTGTGACTCTAACATGCCTAGAAATGTGAAGACCAGAGAGACCACACACATGGAACGAGCACTGCAGGATGTTTTGGTCCCTTTTGTAATTAAGGTGCATGTATCTCATGTCCTTCACTTTACAGGCTACGTGGTTATGACCTCACACTTTAACCAATCTGTGAGCAAGACCTGCATTGCAGACAAGGACAACAGAATAAGGAAATTAAACTGCACTGACTGTCAGTGATTTACATACTAAGCAATGGCCTCCTCTAGCAAATTCATCACCACTCTCTCTGCTGCTTTTCTAATTTTTTCTGCAATTCTGGGCACACCAATTACAGAGCCTGCAGTGTGATGCTGGATCATGGTTGGGAGGGCATGCTGGTAATTGTGTTAACCCTGGATGTGGGTTCACTGTGGAGCAGTGTTGTGGAGTTAAAGACAGAAGGAGGCTGTCCTCCCTCTCTGTTGGCTGCTCACCAAAGTCATGATTAATTAGGCTTACAAAACAATACTTGAACTGCAC